TAGTGGGGTATATGTCTTAGTGGGGTATATGTCTTAGTGGGGTATATGTCTTAGGGGGGTAAATGTCTTAGTGGGGTATATGTCTTAGTGGGGTATATGTCTTAGTGGGGTGTATGTCTTAGTGGGGTGTATGTCTTAGTGGGGTGTATGTCTTAGTGGGGTGTATGTCTTAGGGGGGTAAATGCCCCAGGGGGGTGGTATATGTCTTAGGGGGGTAAATGCCCCAGGGGGGTGGTATATGTCTTAGGGGGGTAAATGCCCCAGGGGGGTGGTATATGTCTTAGAAGCGTGGAACAGTGGGTTTTATACTGACAGGTTGTTGAATTTGAGAGGCAGCTTCTTGTCGGTTCGTTCCTGGAAACGTTTCACCAGCAGACTGAGGAACTCGGTCTTAAAGATGCTCTGAAGAACGCTGTCGTACTCCGCCTCGTGGATGATGAAGATATCATCCTGCAGGGTACTGTGAGACAGACAGACGGGTCAGACAGACGGGTCAGATGTGAAATAATAAAATTCATTTTATCTGAAGGTTTTATCGTCTTTGGGTGTTTTTGTGTTTACGTTCTGGTTCTGCTCTGGTTCTGACAGAACTAGTAACTTGCAGTTTTGACTTTGTCACTATTTCTGGTTCTGACCCAAGTTCATGCTGGAGAGTAAATCTTCTTGGTCTTAGTTCCAGTTCTGGTGACGTACCTTAAGGAAACAGACTGGACCTTGTTGACTTCAATCTTTCTCTTCAGAACCTCCTGGATCTGACCTTTATCTGGACCCTGCTTCACCTTCTCTCGACCAATCATGTACAGGAACTTTGGTGTCAGGATGAGGTCCCGTTTCACCGTCTGCAGAACACAAAGAACCACAGACTGAACATAAAGGAACTCCGCCGCAGACTCAGACCTCAGTTAGCAGGTTAAAGGGGTGGGAGGGTCTGGGGTTTGGGGGGTTGTGGAGGTAAAACAGAACGAGGACATAGAATCCTAGGCTCTGTGAGTGTGGTTTGTTGGTTGTTTGATGGAGTTCTGTTTTTACCCTAAATCTTCGGTCAAATTTCAGGACAACATCAGCGAAGTCGATCCTCTCTCTGCGTCCAATGAACTGCCTAATCTCGGGGTGGTTGTCCGTCCCGATGTAGTCGCCCACAAAGTTCCTGTTGATGCTGTTTCTGCGTCGTTCTTTCTTGTTCAGCAGGACATCAGAGGCTGCCAGAGACAACAGAGACTGCTCAGAGACCGAGGCTTGGACAGTTGGACGGGACTCTTCTGATGCTCTTACCTTCCTCTCTCATCTTGACGTATTTGCGGACAGCGATGTGTTTGCGCCAGGCCTTCTGGATGACACGAGCGTAGCCATTAAACTTCCTCTCCCTCATCTCCTCCAACAGGAAAAGCTGCAGAAATGAAACAAATGAGAACAGAACCTGTCAGGTCAGGTTTCAGGATCATGGAACCTCAGTGTTTCTACCAACAGAACTTTATTTAAAACAAACAAACACTTCCTGAACATTTCGTACCGACTCAGGAGCTTTGATGAAGATTTTGTTTTTTCCCAGCTGGAACTGATCCTGGTCCATGTTGACGGAGCGGAGAAGGTGTAGGACTCCCTGACGCTCTTCACCCCTCCACTGAGGCCAGGTCTCCTTGGTCAGGATGGCATACCTGCAGAACATGGGTCCATTAGAACATTTGAAGCAGCATCTGCTTCTGGTTCTGGTTCTTCTTGTGCTTGAGGTCAGACCTGTGCAGGAACTTGTTGAAGATTCGTCGGTAGGCGTACCCAGCGCGGCGGACTCTGATGTTCTCTCTGAGACCCAGGTACTCTACTTGGTGTCTGACCCGGTTCTCCTCCCAGTCCCGGGGCTTTTTGGTCTCATTGGGTTTAATGCAGCGGATGTAGTGGGGGGTGCACTTCATCAGGGTCTGGACCAGACTGTTGGCCTGTTTCTAAAAAGGAGTGGGAGGGGTTAAACTTGTTGGACCCAATCTGAACTAACCTCAGCCAGTCAGTTCAATGTTTGAAGAAAGTCTTTGTTAATAAATCATCTTTTATTGTACGTGTCACCATCTGTCTCACCTTGATTTTACTGCTCGCAGTGGTTGGTCGTCCTCTTTTCTCTGCCTCCAGGTTTTCCGGGAAAAGAGCCCTGATGAACGGACTGACCACAAACACATGACAGCCATGACTCAACAGGAAGTTACCAATTTTTACAGAGGAGAAAATTATTTATTCACAGTTTAACACCAACAAAGAATCAGCTGTTTCTAACGGTTCCAATAGTTTCATTTTATTGGAGAGAGAAAATCACCTGAACATCTGGCAGAGTTAGATGGATTTATGTTACTGATTACATGCCACTAATTACATGTCACTGATTACATGCCACTAATTACATGTCACTGATTACATGTCACTGATTACATGTCACTGATTACATCTTACTGATTACATGTCACTGATTACATGTCACTGATTACAT